AATAAATAATGTATTTGTGAAACTTACAATTGTCTTGTTTTTTCTTTATCTGTAATTATGGAGTTACTGACGGTTTCAAATATTGTTACGTCTCCGTGTGTTAATTAATTTTCCGTAACTTCGTTCCGACGAAACTTAAGCGACACAAGTCTTTACTTAATAAAACTGGTTTATTCTTTCCGAATATAACTTTACCGATACACTCAACTTCAACAATCGCGCTAAAACAAACGCTATATCAACGAACGTCAATAATACTTCTGACCGCAGATCAATTACACACTGTCTATACACACATTACCTTCCCCTCTTTTATATACCAGTCTACCCTCCATCTAGTAATTACTAGAGCATTCGCCAAAATACATGATAGTTCTAGAAACGTTGCGTCACAGTAGTCACGTGACTCACTGACGCAACAATATATTACTGTTTAAATGTTTTTACAATAAAGGAATATGTCGACGTAGACCATAGAACTTGTATCCCCATGTTCATGACTCTCACGCTACCAATTGTAATGAAACATTACAGAAAACTCTCCATTTTTCGGGGCCCTAATAGCTCCAGTTCCATTACTAAAACGGGAACAAACGGGTTGGTCCTGAGTTAGAGATTTAGATTTAAGAGTTAGCCAGGCGGTCTTGAATCCATACAATAACACACAATATTTCCTGCACTTTAAGCTGTGAGTGCGCTACAAGAGTAGTAGTTAATGCTTTACATAGATGGAGGGTGATAGGGTGCTGTTGACTGGCTGCTTTCCCTGTGGTTAATAGTATAGAATTAGTAGGCAGCCTTAGTAACTTTGTCATAAATACAAAATAAAGTGAAATGATAAGACATCTTATTTATAAACATTCTGAAGACAGAAACATAAAACAAAAAGAAATAAATAAATTGATTTTAATAATATAGAAATTTGGTTATTGTTTTCTATAGCACATTTATACAATCAAGTTAATCAATTCATCGTATTTGTTTGCCATAGGCAGTAATGTTATTGTTCTAAAACTTCCCAAAAGTGATATTATATATTTCTGGTTACGTTATTTACCAGATAGACGACGGTAGAGAGACTACCAACTAACTACCTAACAAATAACTAGTAACCACTAAAAAATAAACACGAACTACGGTAAATCATATTATCATGTATTACTTTATAAGGCGTGAGCTTTTTACCTTATTAATAAAACATTCCCTTCTAGTTTATAATAAAAACATATGAAGCTCACACCAAGTACAAAACCTAACTAAGACTTACAGTGCTTAAATAAAGTTCAAGGAAACAAAAGCACTAAAGCATAACTGGAATGTTTAATAAATTTAAACACTGTTTGATAATTCAACAAGATAAATAAAAAATTGGGAATTTCAAAACCTGTAAATAGGGATCGTAAAAAAAGTAAAGAAACAAGGCTGGATATACTATAGAAATTATTTACTCAAACTACAAACCCTTATTTTGTCTCCAGGCTGTTACCTAGAATTACATTTGGTGGAGTCAAAATTACTATTTGTAGTTTGAGTAAATAATGTCTACAGTATCTCCAGTCTTCTTTCCTTACCTTTTTTTTTACGATCCCTATCTGCACGTTTTTAAATTCCCATTTTTTTATTTTTCTTGTTTGCTGGCTTTTTCTGCTCAACTATGGGCAAAGGAATACTTGATATGGTAGCTAACTTAATGCGTTGTAATGATAATAAACATAGCTAGTAGCTAGCTGATACGGTTCATGATGAGTTAATGTAGCTATTGACTATTTGATCGCATTAGTTCGAGATGTAACATGTTAAGCTGCAGCTGGAGACTTGTTTGAGAATGTAGTGTATGTTTATAGGGTAACTAAGTTATGTATATATAATGCATAGCAATAGGTAAATATATGTCTAGACTAAGACACAACTCCCACTAAGCACAAAAAAACAAAATTTACCAGTAGAAAAGCACTCTTTTCAAATAAAATATATATACGTCTAAAACATCGCTTTAAATGAGCCTTCGTGTCTTTTAAAGTAATTATTCTATGAATGTATGTAATAAAATTTAATATTATGTCTATTGATTTTTTTACTCCTTCACTTCATACATAATATAGACACCGATTATATAGTGTACAAAACATTGAGTATCTACATGTTACATTCATCTGATATTCATCTATTATTGGATGGTAATTCCTGTTTCACCCTGTACTTAAGCTTTTTAAAGGAACACCAATGTTTGTAAGAAACCTAACTTTGAGGGGTAATGATAGCGTCGTTATTAGTAGATTTTTGATATTTTTTAAATTATGTAAAATATAGAAGAAACAAACCGATTTTTCAATACCCCTACGACCTTTCTAGTACCTAAAATTAGTATTGTACAAAAGGTTTGGGTGCAATATACCGAGCTGTTTTTGCTGTAGTCTGGCAAAAGAATAATAATTATATAAAATAAGAAGAATTACAAACGGGCTGTTTGAGTGGATTTTCTTTTCCTTGTAAGTCTAACATGCGTGTTTTTTGTACATGATTATATGTATATAGCCTTAGCAGTCAATAGTAAAGGTTTTAAAATATTGTTTGGACTGAATCTTATTTGTTTAAGGTGTTTTTTGCCCGAACGTGCTATTAGGGTTTTGTGCCATTCCTTGCGATCACTGTTATGAACCACTATCATGGTTCATGATAATTCCAAGGGTGGATGCTGTGACGAATTTATTATTATATATTTGTCTTAATATCGACGTTTGATTAGATTAAGTTTATATTCAGAAATATGCATAGCATATACTGTTGAATATGTATTGCGAAACACCCGTCTATTCTCTAAAGTTGTAGAAAATTTTCTAGAGTAAAAATCAACAATATATGTGTGTACATAAACGCTTGCGTTAGCGTCAGTATTGTTACATAAAGTTGAAAATCTGAGAATGCTCCACACGCCTATAAATATAACCAATGCGACGCGCCAAAAAAGAGTATATATTATTAGTTTGCTATAGTTGGTGTGCTATAAACTTCGGAAGCTAAACTGTGATTGTTATAACGCTAATTAATCGGGAAGCTTAAGACATTTGACCAAAAACGTTTATAAATTTCGAACATTACAAACCATTTAACTTCAGTGGATTCTCATCGGACATTATTACTTTTACGAAAGCGTTACCTAACGTCATCAGTGGAAACTCGACCTGTAATCGGCGTGTGATCAGCAAGAACTAAAAGTCTAGCTAGCTCCATGATAAGTGAATTATACCCACGTTAACTCGAAATTAACGCGCTCGTCGCGAACCCTCGATAAGATATTAAGGAAGTTCCAGAATAGAAAGAAGACTTTATATTGCTTGTAAGTTTGTGAAACTTTTATTTATAAATCATTATTTGTAATAACTGTTATTGTAAATTGTATTGTTCTGTGTATATTAAAACGTATTTGTGTTAAAAAAAAAGAAAACTGTGTGCATCAATCTTTATTGGCAAATATCGTGAACTGACTATATATAAAACAATGAAAACTAAAGAAATAGAGAGGTTAATTCCTCACATATTTAAAGCTAATACACGAGCTTCAAATCTCTACTCACTCTCAGACGTTTGACGACATTACTCGGTAACACTAAGACGATCTAACAACATCTAAATCTTTTGGACAAGAAGTCAGAGCAAAAAGCGTTTCGTTGGCGTATGGAAACATTTGTGACTTCTTTCATGTAATTTTGTGAATTTCTGTGAAATAGATTGAGGTTAGGAAATTCAGACTTATATACATATATATATATATCATAATTTATACTAAAATCAGGAGATAAGACAGCCGCTGTTATTATCAACAACTACTTGTCTGAAATATCAGCATCTTCAAATTTAAGAAGTAAAATAGTTACATCTGAAGAAATCGATACTCACTATGTTTAATTTTCAAATACAGTCGTCTTAAGTAAAGACCTAAAAACATTCAAGACAGCTTGCGTCTCGAGTTAAATAGCCAACGAGTGATTCAGTGCTAAGATGCTATTTTCAAACCTAATTTAAGATTATAGATTTTAACATTTTAACTCTTTCGAATCTGAACATTTAGAAAGCACCATTTTTCAATAATTTTATTATGAAGGTTTAATGAATTGATAAATTCGTTCTTGTGTTACTTTTCTTTTTCAGTAATCGTTACTATAAAGGTTCTAGAACAATGTTAAATATCTTCAAATTACGTTTTAGTGAGAACGCAGTTATTATGTAGTGTCTATATTTCAGAGTTGAGATTTCTTTTAACAGTTTTGTTAGATTTTTTTTTTATTAGTAGATAAATCGATCGTCTTAGAACATTCTGAGAATGGAAACATCTGAACATTTAAAACCTTTTTCCGAGAGAACCAGCAGGCAAACTTTACGACTTAATCGGGGATCTCTGATGGCGTCTTCGTGATACTTGCAACCATTATTTTTGCATCAACATAGATCCGAAGGACTTTCGTGTTTATCAATTATTGACAGCTTTCGGAAAATCTTGAGTGAACAAAAAATATAACTTTTTTTCTGGCTGTAACTATGCACCTTGGACAAGAATTAATAATTCACTTACCATGTTCTTTTCTTGCACATCAAACGTGGAGCATAAAAAAACAAGGTTCGTTTTAAACTGGTTTCGGTTAAACTCCCAAGAGAAAGCATACATTCATCCAACCAATGCAAATAATTCCTTTAAATTACTGCTGTGGTGACGCAGTTGACTTTAATAAGGATGCAGTGAGTTAAAGTTATATCAAGTTAATTTTATTAATAAATTAAATTTATTTAAAAATATGCATAAACTAAAATACTTCAGCACGTCTAACAAAATGAATAAATCACAAAAACTAAATTGCTTATGTCTGTTTGTTTTAGAGCAAACCCACACAATAGGCTATCTGCACTCTTTCCACCGCGGGGAATCGAACTATAGATGTTAGCACTGTAAGTCCCTAAACTTACAGCTGTCTCACCAGAGGGACAATTTTTTTACTTATTTTATTCTTCTTCTTGTAACATTAAACTAAAGTATTCTGAATTTGTTTGAAACAATTTCAATGATAACGAATAGAAGGAAATTTTTGTATTCATCTAGTATTATTACTTTTTGTAAAACTAAGTATGAAAAATTCCTTGTTATATTTATTATTCTACGAAACATTTCTGTTCATATAAAATTAGATATATTTTTGGTATTTATATTTTCTAAGAACATGTAATTACTGATGTGCTATTTCACCGTTTTTCCATTAAACAATTCACAGTTATGATACAATAAGAAGCTACTGCATGATATGTAACCTTATGCTAAATATTAGCTGGAAATGAAGTATGTCAGAAATGTAAAATATGCAAATGTAAAATATGTATATGCATACACATACACACGCATATACATACACACACATATACATGTT